CCGGAAACCGGAATCTTCGCACAGAATGCGCGTTCCGGGGACTCCCCCGCCTTCTCCTATATGCCAAAATGTGTTTCAGTTTTACCCTTGTAACTGTAACCGTTTCAACGCTTACAGTGGTAGTTCCGTGCACCGAACAGGATTTTACTTGTCGCGTGGAAACTTTCTTCCTCCTTTCTGATACCCTTTCGTCCGCCGACGACTTCTTACACTGCATCAATGCTTCAGTCTTCTTCTTTGGTGACTCATACTTTCCTAAGTTTTCGAATTTTTGTTTCGTTGCTGTATCCTTTTCTGTTCGTTCTTCCTTCCCCCAAATGAACCTGACTTTCTCTTCAACTCTTCCTCCTTCCCTCGCAATCCATTTGTGTATGTTGTCTACAATTTTTGAAACTCATTAAGCTTAAGTGACTGACTGATCACATCATGCATTCAGTGTTGGTGACAAATATCAACTTGGGACATTTGTCAAGCAAATAATTACTACGCAGTTCTTAATCATGCTTATTTCCCACTGAATTCCTCGCGAGGAGACTTAGTGGCAGTGGTTGAAAAACGAGAAATTTTTCAGAAGTGTAGTAGAACTGGCTTAGGTGAAACTGTTTTGAGATCCATGCGCAAGTATGTTCAGCAATTAGTCGCGGCTATCAAAAGATTGTGAAAATATCAGTGACTGAAGCCACCGCTAAGAATAACTTCAATATTTTCGAATTATCGAAAAAAAAAGGAAAATCCATAAATGCGGAGAGTTGACATCTTTCCCTGTTCAGGTAATAAATATTGAAAAGATCTCCTTAAAATGGATAAAAGCATGTGTTTGAATTCATCCTTCCATACAAAGAGTCGTGACAGTGAACGTTTCATTTTTCCTTTCCGGAAAGGACGAAGAATGAGTGACAATTACCTTCCGCCATTTTATTTCATTGTCTACTTGTGAAGGAACGAAGTAGTACAAAGTAATGAAGCAGTTTGATATGCCGAAGCATGAACTATTGTGTGGAATTGGTGACGCTTAAATGAACAGCGAGAATTGTCAAAAAAGAAGGAGAAAATGAGCGGAAGTTCGATTTACTGGTGGGTGGAATTAATACAGAAAAGGATAAGAGTAACAATAAGTGAAGTTTAGGGTTTGATGAGTCTCCACGGCAAAGTTCCACAAGTATAAAGTGGTGAATAGATTCCCCTCCTCATATATTAGCATGATGCGTGAGAGAATCCAATCACGATTCTTCCCGTTAATCAGTGAGATCTCTGATAAAGAGATGGATCGATTCGCAGTGAATGACAACTTTGGTTCCTTAATTTAAAAGTTAGGACCTCGATTGAGGTGTAAATGATAAGATCTAATTAAGACAGAGAAGAGAGAATAAGAAAATAACATTCAAACAAAGAGTCACAGGGAAAATAAATTCATTTATCGATTACCCTTGACATCATCCTCACAGACGGCCGGGGAGTCGGAGTAAGATGAGGGCTTTTGTTTTTCGTACGGGTGAGAATAGGTGCTACAGGTTTGGATTCGGGCTGCTATCATTCAATTGAGCTTGCCCGTGCCGTGTTCTGTTACTGCTTTTTTCCGTTTTTCGGAAACTGAGTGTTTCGAACTGGAAGTATATAGCTGAGCCGGTCTACTACTCCTCGGCTATTGTCTTCTTAAATAATGCAAAGGTGACTTATCGGCAAATCGATGAAATCGCTCTGTATCAGCACCTTTGCTCCGATCTGCAGCTGCAACTTAGAGATATTCTATGATAGAGGGAACTCTATGCTAGGCTATCTTCTAGATGTGGGCCATGATCAGTATATTTTAAGATCGTATGTATGGATTCATTTATATAATTTACTTCATAGTTTACACGGAATTTAATTAGTCTTATTCCCTTAACTGATTGAGCGGATAAGAGAGGACACGGAATATTCATTCTTTGTAGAATTGTACAAACTGATATGTTCTTAGAACAATTGGAAAGGATTTTCGGTATGAAATTTTGTGGCCGGTCAGGTCTGAAGTTGGTTTTTCATTCAGTGTAATGGAAATAGACATAAATCGGTTGCTATTTCAACGAATGAAAAAAAGAAATTGATTGCCTGTGTGAACTTTTCACTCACTCGTCACTCTTCCCACACAAAATACAAGCATTTCAGGAAGGTGAATTATGTCAAGCACAGAGCTTAATTTCTATCCGCTCCTTGTCGCTGTATGCTTCTATCTATCAGTCTTTGTGATTGCTGAGTTGACTCGTAAGCTTGTCGATAAGTAAGTTGTTTATATTTACACTTACCATCAGTTCATTGAATTATTTTACTGCCTGGTCATTCAGATCGGTGTTTCCCCCACAACCTGTATGGACAGTTAGACATACGTAGGTTGTTTAAGAGGTGACCGTGTCTCGTTTATTAAATTACCTTGCTGGTTAAATTATCTGTTTATTGTTCTTTAAAACTTTTAATATTAATTTAATAATTTTTGAGATATGGGACGGCTGGATCATTGTTGTCTTATTTTCTAATGGAAATGATAGCAACAGCACAAATGTGTACTTGCGTTTATGAGAACGGTAATATCCTTTGTATTGTTTGATAACCAGCATGCAGTGTATAATATATGAATCTTTCCATGCTTGGTGTTGGGAATAAACGGGGATTATCGGATTGCTGTTACAGCGGTGATCATTCGACATTATGGCCTGTTGGGTTTCTTTTTCACCGTTGCTATACTAATTTTTTCTGGCGGCATTATGAATCGAGAAGCATATGTATCTCCACTGACACCAATTGAGCTGTACTATAAAGGAGCACTTCCGTTTGTTCTTTTTTTATTTTTATTCAAGTATTAGTTAAGTTATTCAGGCGTTATATGACTTTATCATCCTTGTATATTTCTTGGTACTGATTAGGATAAGCAAAGCAGCTGGGAAAACATCCTATATATAATTGTTGCAGATTGAAAAGATTGTTAATAACAGTAACTGGCGAAACGGTTGGTGGTTATTCGGCTTATCGAGTAGCCCGTAACCTGTGGTACTGGTCGTTAAATTTGTCGTCTGATCATGCTTTTTTTTACGAGCTCAAAAGTTGTGAACTTATTTATAAGGTTGGAATTCATTAAGTCGAAGACTTTCTGAAAACTGGAAATGCTTATTTTAATTTTTCCGTTAATGTTTTCATAGAGTAAGAGAATAAATTGTTTTGAGCATATCTTCAGTTTCTGAAGAAGAAAAGGATTTGAGAACTTTTTTTGCTAGGAAAGAAAAGAATTTGAAGACTTTTTTTATGTTTTACATCCTATTTGTCGTTTTTCTTTGGATAGCGAAGTTTTTGCAGAGACTTTTGTTACATAAGTTCCGGGTTAATCTGCATAATTATAGAATGCATAATTATAAAATTCATGAAATAGTTATGTAGATTAAAATTGTATTGTATTAGACCTACACTGTAGTTCATATCTCTTATATACATAATATTTTTCAAAACTAATTTCTGCTGAATAAATGTGATGTTGTTTTGTTAGACTACCATATACTTTGTTCTTTTAGTAGTAAGTTAATTCCGAAATAGAAACGATGATGAAGCATATCAGATTCATGCATACAGTGTCTTCATCTTAGGTGCCATTCATGTTTGTACCGTCTTTCGAAATGGTTGGCTGTTTTCTGATGCGTTACATTCTTTGCCGCATTCCGAAAAATGCCAAGAAATATATAGCTCCAACCGTTGTCTCAGCATTCTTGACACTTGGTTCGTTCTTTTGTTTGCGTGAAATTCACTAAAATCTAGCTTTAATTTATCAGGCATGTTGGTTTCAAAAGTTATACAGTTGCATTTTTATTAAATATAGCTGTGATTGATATAGCTACAGGAGCTAAAAAGTGATTTTCTCGAAATATTTTGTAAAATTTGCCAGTCATAGTGAATTCCAAGTGTATGATTGCAGCTGCTTATACTTACCGATGTTTCCCAAGCACTTTACAATCATAATTCAGCCTCAAACACTTAGCATTGAGTCAGAGGTCTGCTTATTCATGTTCATTTATTCATGTATTTAGTTGAATTAAATGAGCTTATCAACTTTTTCAGCACTTCTGGTTGTGGGTGTTCCTGGACTTAATCCAACAGTTGCTTCATCGCGCTTACATGGCTGTGATGGGCTAAATACTGTTTGGTTTATTCTGACATATTGGATATGTCCTGTAATTGGTTGGATGCTGTCGGCTTTCATCGATGATCGCAAGATCACTGTTACTGGAAAAAAAATAATGTAACAAAACTGTGCAGGTGCTTGTGTTTTCGAGGTTTTCATTTTACTTAATTAGTCTTTCCTTTAACAGCCGTAGCATTCGAATTTATTGATAATGGATCGTCATTTTTTTTCGTGGTCTTTCAATATTACTATGCCTTCTTTGATTGCCATAAGTTTTCATTTGTCAATTTGAAGCTGTTTTTTTGTTGGCTGACTGCTGTAATTCAGTTGGCTGGAGTTTTTTCTTTAATTTTTTTACCCTTCACTTTATTCAAGTTAGCTTCCTGTCAGTGAAATTTTGAGCTAATAACCACTTTCAGTTTTTATTTCTGCTTTTAATGCAAAATCATCGCATTAGGAATCATTCTAGTTATTTAAGCCTTTTACGATATATATAAAGTTCATCGTCTATCATTTTATCTACTTAGAGATACTCTAAAATAATTTTCCGTGTTGATCTTTTGTACTAATAACAGAAGCTAGAATATAGCTTTTTTATGATCACTTTGGTGATACGTAATATACTTCACATAAATAGATAACTCTGGAATATTTATTTTGTCGATAAGAAATGGTATCAGCAATGGCGTCCAGTTAGTGTAATAATAAACTGGAAAAGAATGCAACGTTTCTTAAAATCATTCTTACCGTTGAGGGTGAAGTAATTATTAATATTTGTTATAATTTTTGAAATAAATAATGACGTCAATTCCGGTAATCGATGAAATCTCACATATAGATGACTTTCAAGAGTTGTTCGCAGTAAGCATTACATTTCATCACTTAATTTTAAAAAAAAAGTGAGGAACGCACGTGCATACATATGTGCATGTTAGTGCTAATGGCTATTTTTAGCATTGGTGTGATATGAAGTGCTTATAAAAGCTGTGATGCTTCATCTCATTACCAACAATAGTCATTAGCAGGAAAACCTCATCACTTTTCTCATCCTATAAAATAAGTGCATTATCATATAGAATGCATCTGTGCTGATAGCGTCAAGTTGTCCATGCGTAGTTCAGTTATTGTGTACATTCTTATTGATAAAGTAGCACTAGAAATTCATTTACGGATATTAATGAGTTTACGGATATCTGGATTGGTAAGAAAAGATCAGTACTCAAGCTTGAGCTCGTTGTCATCACAGCTCGTCAGTTTTGACCAAAAGCTGCTTTATGAACCGTTGCGATAATGATAATTTCCGGGAGAGGAGCTGAAAAAATAATTTGCTGAAAAGCCTTTACTGATTTCATTCCTTTTCAAATGCATATTGCTTCCACCTTTGAAAATTTTCGGAAATTAGGAATTTATTAATATTTAATTTAAGACAGAACAGTCTCTCATTAATTAACACCACAATTGGCCTCCGTGTTTTTTTTCGAAAACAGATCTCTATTTCCCTCCGCTTGTTACACATTTACTTTTTCGTACTCTGCAGTAATTAAACCAGTATTAATCATTTTAAAATAATCGTTTTTCAAATTGACGATATCTTCGCAATATCTTCTTTAATCCTATAAATTTTTAAAAGACATGAACTTTTTACTACTGTACATCTCACCTTTGATTGATACCTTAACGTTTTCGATTCATAAATTTTTTGCTGTCATTTCTTCAATTTCACTCACTGCGGAGAAAAGCACAAAACTTTGGGTGTGCTCTCACCCACTTTTGATCCAGATTTCGTTTAAATTTACATATCCTAGTGAATATTTTTAACCATTAAATTTATTAGTGCGGTTGGAAAATAATTTAATTTGTCGTGGTCATTTTTGTCCTGCTCTACAAGATGTCAACTCTTGAACATTAATGCAGATCTTTTTTTGTCGCCCACTGCCGAAACTCTTATAATAATACAAAAAGGTCTTATTTTGAAAGAAAGTTTGTTATGTTTTGAAACTAATATTTTCCACTCTAACAGTAACTAAATTCTTTATTTAATGAAGTTTTTCCCAGAAGGTATTACGCAATTGTCCAATTTTTGTGCAGAATCATGCAAAACTTACAAAGTTCTGGAAAAAAACTTCAACTTCTGGAAAAGACTCGTTCTAGTAATCGTCATTTATTGTGCAACCAGAGACAGATCTGGAGAATTGTGGTAGCATCAAATTTGTTTAAAGAAAAGAATGAAAAGTGTTAGGTGACTAATAATAATTATCTATTTAGGTGATGAAAATAAAAATTCTTTGTTGTATGCAAGTCCGATAACTCCAGTGATAGAAAAACCAGAAGAGTCGGGGGGTCTCGGTCTGGTTGTATTTGTACCGCGATCGGATTCCCATCTTGCTGTTGCTTTTTAAAACTATTTTTCGCCTTATTACATATTCTGAAATTTTCATCGATCATGAAGAGTTTTTCAATGCCTTATAGGTACTATGATTTTAGCAGAAAAATTGATAAGAAGAGACATTTTACTTGAAATTTGAACGATCAAGAAAATAGCTACCAGTTGAACCGAAGAACATGAAATATTAATATTTTCAATTGAAGAAGAAATAAATTAATTTGGCTTACGAATTCTTTTTATTGCTTATGCATCGATTAGAGAGACTGGAGGAAAATCGTTTTCTTAATTTTACAAAGATTCGTCACTTGGGAAATTTTCTCTGAAAATATTGCCAGCAGACTAGATTACCCATCGAGCTGAACACTTTAATTAGCTGCTTCTTTTTATCCGACTAACTCGTTAATTGTTTGAGAGATTTTAAGAAGGAGTATGTTTTAACACTGCAGTAGAAATTATTTTAAAAAATGAGCAATTTTCAAGGACATAAATTTTGAGTAGAAATTACCCATCCTGAGAAATCGATTAGTTGTCCATTCACATTTTTTTTTTACTTTCGTTTTTTTTGAATTAGAAAAAATAACTAACATTCAATCTTATCAATGCAGTAGTTATGTTGAGATAAATCGCTTTATAATTGTACCAATTTATTTTTTTATACAAGAAATACCCTGAACTTTGAATTCCAGGAAAGAATTATCAAGCTGTCTTTCAAAACTCCATCTTGTCACCAAATTATGTTCACTTTCTCACATTACAGGTAAAATTATATTGTGATTTCTTTTTTTTGGCACAAGTTATCAGTGTTTGTTTTTTTCTCTTTTAGCACAAATCCTTTCTTTTTCCCTTACAGATCATTGTTTAGAATTTTAAGATTAACCTTATTAGTCATACTTTTTAGTAACAGTTTAATCATTCAAATTCAGCAGGGCTGCATGGAATATTCTCATAAGCAAAATTCTACGATAATAAAGTTCTCATATCTCTTAAAGATTCAGAGAATTTGCGGAAAAAAATTGTTAATCTTTTAGTTCTGTAAAAATAGAACAATGTACTGTAAAATATCAGATGCCGAAGAACGAATGTTTTGAAATAAACGAAGTGGACAAGCAAATATGCCATCAACCTTATCATGTTCTACCTGTTATTTTTCTGCTTTATATTTCTTTTTTTTTCTTCGAAAGATTTAAAAAAAAATAAATAACTGAAGTGAAATTATAAAAGAAACTAAGAGTAAATCATTTAAATTATTCTTGACATTACCAGCTGCACCTGATATTATCAACTACGTTACTTCCATATAGATGAGCGCAGCATAACACAGAATATATGCAACGAATAAATCTCGTAATGATTATAAGATCACTGCAGATTCCACGATCATATTATTAGATTAGAAAGGTGCGAAAAAAAAAAGTGGTTACACTATCTGACGAGATTAAAATTGATGCTTCATTTATTGCCATCCATTTCGGTTTCAAAGCTGTGGGTGGCACTACTTTGTTGAAAGATGCTTATTAATTTAAAAATAATGAATATTTTCAACTCATTCCGTCTGTTCGTGTTAAGTTTGAATTTTTCATCACACTCTGGAATCAATAAATTCTATAGTGCCTTAATTCTTTCATTTAATTAAACTCCTTTAGCTAGTGGCAAGTTTCAATATCAAGCAAGGTTCCAGTATCGAATAGACAGTTGTTCTTTTCTTTTTTTCATAGAAGGCATTCTCAACAAACCGAATGTAATTTAATTGGTATTGATCAAATAAAGCATCAGATTTCCTCTTTGCCGGCACCGCAAATCCTTTCTATTTGCTTTCCAATTAGATATGAATCATTTTCTGCAAAGGTTAATCCTAAATTTTAAATGTAACCTGATCGTAGTTCAGTATAACAAAATGGAAAAAAATGTTTATTTAGAACGTTTTTGAAGAGAATTCATTTAATTAAAACATCATTTTACAAAAACGATTCTATTATCAAACTGACAATAAGAATGAATCTATTTAAGGAATTTCGATGATACCTTCATGTTTCGAACATCAAATCATTTATTCTTAAGGTATCATTAAACAAATTTCGTCTTTTTTATCTATTGGGTTTTTGAGTTCTCACTGTTATTTTGATGAAATAAGCTTTTGTTTAAAGGAATTTTTTTTATATATAGCACAAACTTATGGCTACAATGTCATCGTCAAAAACGTATCAGATCGTGAATATGTCAGTTACGCCTTTTGTTTATTCATGCCGTATATTATACGCAACATCTGACTTCTATTAAAATGAGTATAATTAACATTACATGAAATTTCGTTTATTATTACTTTAATTTATGGCCATCTTTATTTGTCAAGATATTTACAGTTATCTTGGCAGCTTTTTTTTAGGCCTAGGTAACATAACATTAGCTAGCTTCTTCAAATTACTGGCCAGAGCCATAGATGATATGTATTAAGGCAGAAAAAAAAGGGAGAGAAAAAGTGCTAAACTTCTTCATCATCCTTGCGACATTAACGATTAAAAAAACAAGTTAAAACCAAGAAGGAATGAGTTGACGTGTTTTCTGAGGTATTTTGACGGTGCACCAATGAAGATAAAATTGGATTAGAATATTAGCGGATTAGGGCATGAAGTTAATCTTTACTGCCATATTTTGTCTAGGTTCATAGTACTACTGATAGTATTGGATATCACATCATTAATTCTGCTTATTCACCCGGCAAAACATTGCATTAATTAGGACAGATGTTTATCGGATATTTGTGCTTTAGAATAATATTTGTATTTCATGAGGTTTTATGAGTTATATGCAAAGTATTTTGTCGGTTACAAATAGTAATCAAAGAGAAAATGAAAAATAACCACTTAGGCGCAGAAACACTTCTCTGATTGACAGCTGATCATAAGTTATTAAAAATAACAGAAGCATTCCTTATTCTCATCTTCCTGATTTTTTGCTCTTTTGCACTATTTTGATGCCTCGTAAATTACCCACTATATTTCTCCTTTACATATTTCATGTAAGTATTATCGAATATGAAATAAAAACAGAAGAAATGGAAAATCGTCGAATTAAAAGGACGAAAGAAAGCTATGTAATGTCATAAAAACAAAACTCTATCACACGAAATACATTTATTATTCAAAAATCTATCCATTATATGATTCTTGAATGAAAATCACATTGCTTGTACTAATTTGACGCAAAAAATATCCAACATCATAATTTATAAAAGCTGGATGTGCTTTTTATGCATAATGAAATTTCCAATTTTAAATGTGTTTCTATAAAAATTTAAAATACATACTTGGAATCAATGTAATATTTCCTCAGTTCTTCAATTAAATTAATTCTGTAAAGAACCTTTCTGTGAGGAGCAAAATTTTCTTGGAAAGTGTTTTTTACTTAAAGTATGTAATGAATAATTTCTTGAGAATTTTCATAAAATTTCACACAATTTGAAATTCTTCAGCACACACATTCAGAACAATCGGCATTTTTGATTACGTGCTACCAAGTGTTAATACTCGTTGCAATTTTGAGGCAAAGTTGGTTGGTGTTAAAGATGAAAGCAATGTCATATTGATATAAACAAAATGATTGGTGACAGATTTGCCACCAATGCAAATATTCCATTAACATGACAATTTTAGAAACACATGCTACACTTACTTGGATATAAGTCTTAGGGTATCTGAAATATTTGACTAGCCTTAGGGTGCTTGAAATATTTTACTACAAATATATAACCAGTGCCCATATTTTCATGTTTATTGTATACCAGGAACATTTTATCAGGGTTTAGTCCAATTTATTCCTAATAGAGTTTACTTGTAAACATCCGTAAGCAAACCTTTTAATCTATCTTCTTACTTTCCAACAAATCAAAGAACATTAACATAAACCTACGAACGTATATTAAAACATAATGAAGATATGATACTCTCGGGCAAATTCAGGTATCAGAGTATAATTGATGAATGGTATCAGTTTTCAAAGAGGTAGAAATTGCCTCAGTCAATAGACAGCGATGAATGTGTGTGACACGTCAATTTATTATTGCGCACATCTCTTTTTAAACTCTTTTAAGTTATTCTGAATCAACAAAATATATGATCTTTTTCCTTCCTTAGTTTTAAAATGTCTCTTAAAGTTTCCTATTCCCTCGACAAGGCGAAACATTCTCTGAAAATGAAATCTGGTCTCTTCGGTGATAGAAAGCAATGCTTGGCCCTTCCTGATATATTGGCTCATGATGCATTTGCTCACGAAATTGGCAATATTTTTCGTAAAAGAAAAAACATTTTATGATTCTTTCAGTGAATATTTACAAAACAAATACATCTCTTTTATTCAGTGTGAAATATCAGAGAAATTTCTTTTTTTAAAAAAACCTTCAATGTAAATGTTCATAGAAGCAGTAATAATACTGCCATCTCATTGTCTCACTCATGCACCTCTCACTTCGATATTCTTACCATAAGTAACTTCTTCAGAAGTAATAGCATACTGAGTGGCACAATATTATTATGTTGTGTTTAAATAGCATTAGATTGTTAGTTAAAGTTTTAATACAAGGCTTATTTTTAACTAAACGTTTCAAGTTCGAATAGATTACTTGATGAAATCTAACCTATCATTAGCTGCTTAACATGATTATCGGTTGTTGACCACTGAAATGACATTTTCGTACTTCAGGATCCAAAGCATAAGATTTGTGTATAACGTGTTTCTAACTTTCTTTATCTCGTTTGTTAAAATATAAAGTGTCATGAATGGGATATATTTGAAAGGGCGAAAATTGCTAATTGCTTCCATGATTGTTTAAGATTTAACTTTGATTGAGTAAATTCCTCTTTCGTCCTCGACATTTTAACTGATCTCTTCTCCATTGGAATTGATAAATCATTAATATATTTTTAATGAAGTACAATAACATCTGTCTAATAAAATTTTTCTGTCTGAAAAAAGGAGCAAAATGTTTTGCATGAAATGGAACAAGCGATCTTTAGATCAGATTAGGATCAATTCACGGTCAATACACTTATGGATATTCATATAGCTAGAATCCATTTCCCATTTGAGTAAATCAGTTGAACTCTTCCTTGACTTAGCACATACCATCGCTTTACTGCTGTAGAATAGAATTCTATTTTGAATTTTCGTTACTTATCCATTTTTGGGTTTCATTTCACCTTTATTCATTCATAAATTTACAAAAAACTTAATTTTTTAATCAACATCTTTTCTTCCCTTTACAAACAAACCAATCTTCATTTCATTCTTATTATCTAATAAAGTTTGTTTCAAACTTTCGAACAAGAAGTTTTCAAATGAAAAATGGAACAATTGATTTAGTAGTTCAATTGCTCAGTTTTATATTTGAAATAATTTTTACTGCGAAGGTCAAACAGAACTAATAGTTTTTACTTCTGTTTGCACGGTGTTCTTATCAAGCTCTCTCAGTTTGATTACTTATATCAGATTCAGTTTGCAAGCGTAAAATACATTATCTTTCTTAATATAATTACCAATGCGACTACGTTGAATGGAGAATGACATCGGGATGTCCCAATGGGTGCATCTTAACGATGATTAAGACATTCAACAAATTAACTGACTAAAAATTTGAACTCCTACATTAAGTCAGATTTTCGCTCATAGGTTGTGATTAATTAATGACTCGTAATTAGTCAATAAATGTATGTCTAATTGATCTCTTAAAAAACCCATAAATTTCGGTCAATCAACAATTCGTTTCCTTTTTTTTGTGAAAATTAAACTTTTTGTAAAAACTACTATCATTTTCATCAGTCAATTTAATTTCTAGCCAATGTGAGTAAAAATTGCTTTTATTTATTATCAGCAAGAAATTTCATCACTACTATCATTTTAATCAGTCAGTTGCAGTAATCACTGGTAAGAGTTATTATTTAGGTCCTTCATGAAAACAAATTGAGGGTAATTTTTTTCTTTTCGGAGAGTGTTTCACAAACTTTGTTCAGCAAGTTTAACAGAATTGCTTTTATGATTGACTCACTAATGACTCATTTCGAGAAAGCTTCAGTTACTT